AAAACACCACTAGGTCATGCAGCTACCATCAGGTGATTGGATAATGCCCAATTACTGAAAGTTGTTCTTGATACTTTGTCCAGCATGTGTAGTTGCCTCAGGGTGCTTTACAGAACCAGGGCCATGGCCCAATGCAGTGAAACCCTGTTCCTGAAGACCTTCTTCTGAGACATATGTCCATCAAAAGAGAGGAGACTGGATGGGGAATGTCCCCTTTACTTGACTATGCTGCTGAGTCAGTTGCAGCTCTGAGGGTAGTAAGTCAGGGCTTAGGTATCCAGTCCTGCCCCTTTCCCCTGTGGGTCATTTTAGGGTTCCAGTGTCCAGAGGTGGATCGCTGCCCCCTCTATTTTATATAGTTTGGCAACTTTCCCTGGGGTCCATGGAAAGCCACCTGGCGCCTGCACAGCTTCCCTCTAAGGGTTCCAACTGCACATGTGCCACCATTTTCCTCTCCTGACTTGCACTGAGCTGTCCACACAAGCTACTCCAGCTGCAACTCTGCATATGATGGAGGGAGTCCAGATTGCTCCTGGTTACCTCTACTGCCTATGATGCTTGCACTGCAAGCATCCTCTTCCTCCAAAGTTGAAATAGAATAGAATTTACCCCACCTGTCATCGCCTCCCTTCACCTGGGAGACTTTTTTGGGTCAGTGAATGTCAAGGATGCATATTTGCATATCCCAATTTTTTCCTGCCCATCAACAGTACAACAACACCTGCATTTTGCTGTAGGCACGCAACAGTACCAATTTGTTGCTATTATATTTTACCTGTTGGACTTTGCCTCGGGGCTCTACTAAGGTGCTGGACCCCGTGTTGGCTCTGCTTTGGCCTCAGGGGATCTCCATAGTGGGGTACCTAAACAACCTTCTCCTCAGAGAACAATCATTGGAAGACATGTCGTCCAACATTCAGTACGAAGATACAAACACTGCAAAACTACGGATAGATCCTTATTCTCCAGTAGTCAAAGGTGGAACCCTATCCTTGCTTCGAGTACCTGGGCCCTTCCATGGTCTTCCTTTCACTGGAAAAGATTCCATCTCTCTGCAGTCATGCTTAGACTTTGTGGTCCAGGGGCCACCCAGTCATAACGAATAGTGAATTGCCTTGAAGGATACCTTCATGCAAAAGCATAACGCTTTTGCATGAAGGTATCCTTTAAGGCAATTCACTATTCTCAATTTCACTCCAGGACATTACAACTGAGCATTCTGGATGCATGGGACAAACATGCTCAACAACAAGCTTGACAGGTTTGTCGCCAGGGATCCTCTGGCCTTCGCTGTAGATGCCTTGGTGACTCTATTTAGCCTCTCCCTCCTCTGAAGCTCTTGCCCCACCTCTTTCCCAGTATCAAGATGGAGGGCATTCTGGTGATCCTCACCAATGGGCTCAGAGGACTGTGGTATGTGGACGTAGGCGATCACTTGGCAGACTCTCCATGGGCAATTATTTTTTTTAGAATTTGTTTATTTGCATGTAACAGAACATTGCAGGATTAACAGAAAGCAATATATCGTTAACAGAGGTCATAGTTGACAATACCAAATCAAACAATACATTCCAGTATAGCAGAACATTACTCTTGGTTGCATCCTTTTTAAAACAGAGAATATAAGATCAGTGAACTATCTCTACAAAGAGCTTTGTAGGAAAGAAACAAAACACAAAAAAGATACATCTGTAGTCCAGTACCGAATATACAAGTCTCCGTGGGCACTTCTGGATCCTCTAGACCAGTGCTTCTTAAAGTGTGGGTCGCGACCCCATATGGGGTCCCACAAGTGAACAGGGGGGTCGCGATCTGGGCTCCAAGCAAGATTTTCTTTTTTTTTGTTTAATGTGCAGTGTAGTGTAGTTTTTAAGGTTGCGGCCCCCCCTGTGCACTTGGTAACTTCATGAGCAGTGGAGCACAGCTGCTGGAGTTAAATGTAAGGAGAGGAGAGAGGAGAGAGACACTGACCGGTGATTGGGGGTCTGAGGACAGATTGTACTTGCGATCATCGTAAGCCATCCCCGCTGAGGGGAGGGATTGCGATGATTGCAGTGCAGAGCGGGCAGTGTGCGGGGGGTGTAACGTTGAGAAGTGTATTATTATGTTTTAAGCTGCCCATACACCTTACAACCATTGCACGACTTTCGTTGTGCGATGGTTGTAAGGTCATTAAAATCTCGTATGATCTGCCCATCTTGGACAGGCAGATTGTACTTGCGATCATCGCAAGCCGTCCCCGCTGAGGGGAGGGCTTGCGATGATTGCAGTGCAGAGCGGGCAGTGTGCGCATCGTACGATTTTCGGCAGGTTTTCCAGCGTGCTCGTAAGACAAAAGACGTGCGACCTTACAGTAGAAACGGTCGCACGCCTTCCATACACCTGCCGATTATCGTATGATCGCGGGATCACCCACAACTATCGTACGATAATCGGCAGGTGTATGGACACCTTTAGTGTATGTTTATATTAGGGCCCATTCACACCTACAGTATATTTCAGGTGTGATTAGGGATTCCTGTGTCAGGAATTTGCTTTTTTTGCAGCAGGAATCCCTAATCTGCTGTTTACAAGCGGAAACTATCATAAGATAAGAATTATCATAAAATTATTTACGAGGGTGTGTTTATGGGCAGAGTTAAGGCCGGGGCAGGGTACGGGTTAGGTGGGGCAACTGGTGGCTAGTAGCTCAGGACTTGAAATTTTGAGCCCTGCTCTAGACCTAGTGTGACCAGTATTCCACCCTGCTTCTTGATTGCTAGCTTTAATGGCCTGGCTAATGATGCCTGGATCTTGAATAATTAAGGCCTCTCAGAAACTGTTATTCAAATGTTTCTGAAAGCTAGATCTACTATTGAACCTTCAAGGCTTATTTCACTTGGTGGAAAGTGAGGAAGTTTCATCCCAGGAAGTACTCCATAGGACGCATTCTATATTTCCTTCAGTTTGGCCTAGAGCAGTGTTTAGCTTTTAGCACTATTAAGAGCCAAATTTCTGCCTTGGCAATTCTTTTCCAGAGGCCATTTGCCTCCCACTTTCTAGTAAAGGATTTTGTGCAGGGAGGCACTCATGTCCTCCCCACCTGTACATACGCTGGTGACACTGGGAGCTCAACTTAGTTTTGTAGGCTGAGTTATCGGCCTTGACTTATAAACAGCCTTATAAGATAAGGTAATACTGAGACCTAAGGCCTCCTTTCTTCCTAAGGTGGTTTCTGCCTTCCACCTTAACCAGGACATTGTTTTACCATCCTTATGTTCTGCACCAAAGCATCCTAAAGACATTTCTTTCCATTGTTTGGACGTGGGTTCTGCTGTTCAGGTTTACCTCTTTCATCCGAAAGTCTAACTCCCTCTTTATCATTTCTGAGGCTTTCCCGTATCGGGCAGCCAGCTTCTCATTCTACTATCACTAGGTGGATATGGCAAACTTTCCCTCAGGCCTGAGTTGAAGGATAATGTCCCCACCTCCTGGTTAGGGATCATGCTAGGTGCGTCAGTACTTCTTGAGCCTTCCAAAACCAGGCTTTAGTTTTCCAAATCTGTAAGACTTTCACCTGGTCCTCTGTTCATACTTTTGCAAATTTTTACCAGGTGGACGCTCAGACCTATGCAGATGACCACAATGTTCTCCAGGAAGCTCTCTGAGTTGTGGGGCCCAACTTTAATGGTTCCCTGTTGGGGTTAGTTGTTGCTTTCACGGGCCTATTAGGCATTGTTTGCTGTGTTGCCTCCCCCTCTACTGGACTATTTTTTTGGATGTCCCAGTGGTTAAGGAATTTAACTCCTTGTGTCCAGTGATGTGCGCTCAAGAAAACAGGATTATTGTAAAATACTTTCTTCTGGAGTACATCACAGTAGCCTTCCCTCTGGTTTCTGTGATCCACTCTTGTATTACTTGCTACAAAACTGAAACAGGCTGGGAGTGGGAGTGGCTAATCAGGGTTGTCTTATAGCTTTGATTGATTTGCCAGTTTCCAGTCACCTTAAGGTAGCTGCATAATCCAGTGTTTAAAGTGCATCTGAAGCCAAAACTATTTTTTGTTTAGTTTTGAATAGGGTGGCGAAGTTAGGGAGATTCACCCTCTCTATTTGTCCTGGTGACTGTATCACTGAAAATGAAAGAAGAGCCCAAATTTTGGGTTGTCACCAGAAAAGAAATATATGGGGGACACTAGTTCTTGTGATGTTGTTAACCACCAGGGATTTTTCTCTCTTTGAAGAGATTTCATCGCACTTCCTGTTGTGGCTTTTGGACAAGAAGTGAAGGGAAATCTCCCTAATAGGACACAGATGATAAAAAATCTTGACAGGGGTTATAACTCTCCCTTACTCTACCCAAAACTACTTTTACTTTAAGGAATTTAACTCCCTGTGTAGTGTGATGTACTCAAAGAAACATATTTAACAAGTAAGGTGTTTCCACATACAGTATGTAGATTGATGTATACAGCCCTTTGAAGACTATATTCGCTGATGAATGGGGACTTTATCACAGATAATGTGTTAGTAATGTAGAGATACCACCTGCCTCAAAGGGAATGTTTTTATTAATTGAAAATGGTATAAAAAGTCCTTTTTTTTTTACATGATAATTTTAGATATTTTTGATAATTACTGTTTGTGTTTTTAAGAAAATTATGGTTAATAAATATTGTGTATTTAACAATGGTTTTGTAATTTACTAATTAACATTATAAGGTACCATAAAAGTTCCCTTTTTTAGGTATGTGGATACAATTGTAGAATATATCAGAAGATTGTGTGTTAAGCAAAAATATATACATGTTCGTATATGTTATCAGGAAGATAAGCATATGAAGCAGAATGTTGTGGTTGCAGAATGTTGAAGGCCTGCAGTGACATTCTGCTTAAATAAAAATAAAGATAAATTTAAGGTGGTGTAACAAGCTATTTTTAATATAACACATTAGTAATAATTATGGTTAATGAAAAGTACAATAGTAAATATATTATAATTTTAATGATTAATCCATGCAGGAAACCAACCAACAGTCCTGGAAACAGCAGAGATATTCCATCCCTTGAAGAACCGGTGGGAAAATCTAAGCCCGATGCCAACGCCACGGTGTGCCTGTGCCTGTATTGTCCTGAAAAATAGGTTGTATGCAATAGGAGGAGTAAACCAGGTTCCTAGCTCTGCTGTAGAAATGCTGAGTTTAGTAGAAACTTGACTAAGGTTTTTGAATGTTAGGTGGCTGTTGTAAGCACTGAGAGCATGAAAGAGCACAGTATTTGCTTAGGTTGTGGGAATAAGATTGTATGCTAGTAGAATAGCCTGCATTGATATACACAAGATTATTTATATGATCGTAGACTGCCAACCATGTAAAAGGAATACAAGTTTGCCTAATTGAAATTATTTTAATGTGTTCGTTTGACGATCAGACAATTCACAACCCAGGACCAAGGGCAACTCCACTGATTACAGATTTCTGCACATTGAGTGGAGTGAAGCTAGATTCAGGCAGGCCCCTCACTTCATTGCTGTGAGGGGCCTGACAAGGAGATCTGTCTCATTTTGGCATAGCTTTTAAAGATTGATCTAGCATATAAAGTGTATCTGAAGCCAAAACCTTTTTTGTTTCGTTTTGGCCATAACAGGTAGGAAAGTCATTGAGAGCCAATGGTGATGAGGCATCTGTCCAATTTGTTGCATTGCTAGTGCAATGTTACCCACTGAGCTCTGCAATGTTACCCACTGAGATCTTGCACCTAACTTGTTCAACATGTGTCTTGTGTCCTGTGAAGGATTTGTTCCTTTTTCTCCATAGAAAAGCAAATGATCAACATCAACATACCACCTAGTTTACTCCTAAATTGGCAAATAATCTCATGACCGTTGCAAATCATGATTAGATACTTAGACCTTTTTCTGGCTACCTTTAGGGCATTGATAACATATTGGTGTATGGGTGGGGGATGACTCATAATTTCATAAAGTGACTAAAAGAAATCAGGTTGGAATGGAGATAACCAGGGTTATGGCAGCTACAGCCCAACTGTTTAGATAAATGAAATATATTGTTTTGTATAAATTGTTGGCATATAACACAGAAAAGAAATATGTGAACACGCTTTAGGTGGTCTACCTGCACTCTCTAGTTAGAACATAGTAAAGAATTAGCTAATCATACTTGAATAACATAGTATTTATGTCTCAGCAGCATATCATGATTATTTTATAATAGATGCATAGCTAGTATCTGAATCGTTATGACATTGCACATATTGTTTGTCATTGCTTAAAAAAGGGAGACATATTCAACTGTATAATACAAGGCCTCAGTTGGAATTTACATACACGGATAGATCAGGCCAGACAAAAAATATATGACTATTTTGGCAATTAAAGGTCTATTCTATTTGAAGCTAAAACATCAACTGAAATTTGAGTTCAGCTTTAATAAATGTGCATTACATATCTATAGTTTTAGGTAATATACCAGGATACCATACATACAGATTGTATATTCAAGGGGAAAAGTAAACTTAATGCTGTAAATGCATTGTTGTCTATTTTAACATGCATGGTTAGCAGACCATGGTATATGTATGAAGCAGTATGTTTATACAGCGGTTTTATCTGTATAATCAATTTTTGTAATAAAACATTTAGAAAATATAAAACTGTCAGTTGTGTATCCTACATGTGCTGATTAATAAAGTTCTACTAGGTTGTTTGAGAAAGGTGTTTCATTTGCATTTCACAACAACACAATACATGACAATAATTACACGGAAAACAGAAATACCAACTTTCCTGGTCACAAATAAAAACTTTCAGGGTTGTGTACTTTGTTAAGAACTTCAGAATATTTTATCAATAGATGTATGTTATCCAACATCCAGCATCAGCTTCTTTTCCTGAATTTCCAAACTATGATATCATCCATACTGCCATCTAGTGTACAGAAAAAGTCAAGGCAGAACTAGAAACCCTTTTTAATAACGCTGAAGTTGAAAAAAAATGTATGCATTGCTTAAAAATTTTCTTTAAAAATGTAATCAAAACCTCTAAAAAGCTCTGATTCCATTATTAGCTTTCAGAAGTCACATAATTGAACAGAGATTCGTTTTGTGCAATGAACATGTCACATGATTTCATAGTAATTAACTCCTATTTCTAGGAGGCTTCACTCTTTGTTATTCATCATATCTAAACAAACAGCACTATAAAGCCATAAAACTATCAAAGCAAAATCTGGGACACTCTTCTGAAGAAGCTTTCAAACTTTTGGAAACTTTTAAGATCCCCCTTAGCACTGTAAAATACACCTGTATGAAATTCAGGTGTCACATGATGTCAAACTATATCTGTTTATGGAAAGCCCCATAGTTTGTTAGATAACATATTTAGGCAAAGAACATCATTAAAAAAGTTAAAACGAGAGGGGCATGTCCGAGGCATGGCGGAGTGAACACACTCTCCCGACCCGCTCTCCCGACCCACCAGCTTATTATAGCACTTACCTTGTTTATCATCAGATCACCCCAGAAAAAGAACCCCGATACTCCTAGACCATCGGCACCAGCCAAGATTAAGGACTTCTTTAATCCAGCAGTCCCATCGGGAGCGGGTGTAAGCCCCAGTAGAGCCGCAGCCTCGAGTAGCGCGCCATCCCCGGAACTACCAGCTCCCTCCTCCCCGGCTGTGCCGCGTTTCTCCACACCTTCACCTAATTCCAGGTGCAGCGAAGACAGCAGGACAATGCCATTGACCCCAGGACCGACTGAGGACTTGGATACACTGGACCCTGAGACGCAGCGGCCCTCTGCCAATCTAGACATTGGGGCCATACTTCGTTCCTTGCCTACGAAAGCAGATATAGAGGCACTGGTACCAAAATTTGAGGAGACCCATAGCCACGACATTCACGAACTGCAGCAAGAGGTACATCAACCCATGACGCCAGTCGATGGTGACGACAAATTTCCAGTTAAGGAGGAAATACACCGGAAAGCCTGGTCCCAGGGTTCCTTGGACTTTGATGGAGCTACAATTCGAAATCTCCCTGATCTATCCAGGGCGTTGCTGCAGCAGAGGCGCAGCAACGCTGCGGGAAGCAGGTATTGTTTAGCGTAGGGGCTTTCCGTTTCACCTCATTGTGAGGAAGAATGCTACCACCTTTGCCCTGAAAAAACCAGCAGATTTACCCGCTCTATTCTTGTTCCTTGTCATGGAGACGTTTTCTATACCTGCTTGGCTGCAATACCTGCCTGTGAACTTCTTTCACCAACGTCCCCTGCCAGCCCGACGTTCTGCTTCCTCCCGGTCTTCTCAACCACAACGCCGGCGGAGGGCTTCTTCTCAGGTAGACCGCAACAAATCCTAACCGGGCCTGTGATCAGACCATGCCAGTCGGTGTGTATGGTACCAGTACCTGTTTTTCCCAGAGCTGTGCGGAAAGGTTTTTTTGTTTTGTTTGGTGCTTTTTGTGAGGTCATTCTTCAGTGTATACCTGTATTACCCCAGGGGCTATAACTCTGTACATAGACTTTTACCGAGCACTGCACGAGGAGTGAGGATTATTGTTTGAGTTGCATGCCATGAGGTGTTGTTCAGTAGTACAATATTTTCCTCACACCACTAAGATGCCACCTGCAGATATTTGATGTTTTCCCCTAAGTAGATGTTATGTTTTCCTGCTTCTGGGACAATGTGGGCAAGTCACTTTAACCCAGGGGTCTCAAAGTGCCGCCCCGCAAGCCAACGCCAACCCGCGAGCCGGTACTATGTGGCCCGCAGCCAGCTGACAAGTCGGGCACACGGTCATGGACCGCCTGCCCGACTTGCGAGAGCACCTACACGGTCTGCATCTCTTTCGGATGCAGACCGCAGAGCTGTTCCTGTCAGCTCCGGCCGGAGCTCTGTCAGTTCTGAGCTCCGGCCGAATAGAGTGTATTATTATATGTGAGGGGGGGTGTATTATTATGTGTGAAGGGGGGGAGTCCCCTATATTTGAGGTGTGATTAGGGATTCCTGTGTCACAAACTTGCGTTTTCCTGCAGCAGGAATGCCTAATCTGGCGTTTACATGCAGCAACTGTCACCCATTCAAGTTACTGATCAGGTGACAGCCGCTGCATGTACATGCCTGCATACCGCAAGTAAACGTATGTGATATGATTACATGCAGTTACAAAAACAATCACTATCCCTGAATCAGGCGGATGCAGAGTCTAGTCTGGGGGGGGGGACTGCCAGAAAATAAGCCCCCCCCCCATCTGGCTCTTCCACTAAACCACTTTTACTGCTCATCAGTTTAGTGTTATCAGTGATTAATGGCCCTAAAATTATTCCTCTATTGATTCCTAACTGCATGTAATCCTTTCACATATGATTACATGCTGTGTGCAGGCGTTTACATGCAGCAGCTGTCACCTGATCATTAATTTGAATCGGTGACAGTTGCCGCTTGTAACATGTGCATACATTAAAACTGGTACTGTATATAGTAGCGGCCCCCACGGGACTAAAAAATGTGTCCAGTGGCCCCTGACTAAATTTAGTTTGAGACCCTTGCTTTAACCTCTTAGAGCATTGTTCTTGCAGGCTTATGTCAGCTATGTTTTATATGTAAGATCTCCTCCGCTGGTATATACAGCTGACGGGACAATGTATCATTACTGGTGAACCATTACCTTTCTCTCTCCTCCTTTTGGGTACCGGCTCACGCTCCTTTTCCTTTCCATTCACCATTTGAGCTGACTTACGGAGGGCAGCTGGTGGCCCTGGGGACAGAGATGGAACGGTCATGTTCTATTACTGGTGTTGCTGCCCAATGAGGTCCCTATGCTATGTTGATATTCCTTGTTATGGATACCTGTACTCACTGACTCTCTTTCCTTATATATAACATAAGTGCTTAGAAGTACGGGTTAATAGTGTGAGTGGATTTTCACTCTGTTATATACTGGTTTCGGAGTGGGCGGATGAGTGGGATACTGCTTTGTTTAGCCACACCACCACCTGGGTTTTGCGGCCATGAGGGTAGTTCCCTTTTGTGGGTGAGCAATTGGGGTGGTTACCCCTTTAGTGTGTTTTTATATTTTTCTCTCACTCTTTCTTCTTTTGGTATTCTTACTCTCTTGACCGCTTGCTGTCTGACTCTTGTGTTTCTATTTCCTAAATCTCCTCTCTTGTTTGCTTTATATTCACCCTCTTCTGCTTCAATTCGCCTCTCCCCCCTCACCTGTTCTATATTTTTTTCTTTTTTTGTCTCTCCTAGCGCGGTGACTCACCTCTTTTGTGTACACTGAGATGGCAATCATGAGCTCCCTGCCATGTAACCTCCTAGTGTTGCTGAATGTCAAGGGGTTGAACATCCCGGAGAAGAGGACTGCAGTACTCAATGAATTGCAACATTCACGGACACAGGTGTGTTTCCTCC